TCCTTTAACAGTGTAAAACTGCATACTCATTTATTTAGAAGAAAGTCCCAAGGATGAAATGGACCATTTCAGAGCAAATGTGCATTAGATAGCGCTGTTAATGTTCAGAATGATCTCTTAGGCTATAATGCTATATCCATATAATTGAAGCTATATGGATCCCACTGAACTCAATTGGGCTTACTTCAGAACGGTCATGAATAATAAAACAATAAGCAGAACAGAAGTCTGTATGAAAGTGAAGCTTTTTTTTTTTTTAAACAAAATCAATCGGATGGAAATGTATTCATGTTCTCAGGACATAGATGCACAAAAGACTACAGACACATCCACTACTTTTACATAATAGGTACAGTACCACAATCATTTCAGGAGAAAAAAAATTGCTGAGTTGTAATGTAGTACAGTTTCAAGTGGCTCTTCTTGTATTCTTTCATATAGGATTTTTCAGCACAGGCATTAGCTTAATTGTTAAGACCTTGTGATGTGAGTACTCAAGCTATTTCTAGACATTAAGGCTTTGTTTTTCTAAAAGAAGCTCTCAATTCATTTTCTGGAAGAGGCCTGGCAGAATGTTTCAGAAATGGCTTTAATTTTCTCCTTTTTTACACCTTGAGGCAATGTTTTCAAGATGTGCTTATAGTCCTCATAAAACTGTGAAATGTGTTCCCATCCAACAGGCCCAATGTCTTGTGCTCTAAGTAAATAGTACTTTACACTGAAGATACAAATCTCCAATATGTCTTACTGTTCTTTTTACAAAAAGGTCTTTGAACATAAACAGAAGACTCAGAAGACTGCAGTCGTACAACTTGAGGTAAATGCAAAGGAACTTTGTGGAACTCTTGAACCAATTCCCTTCTTTATTTTTTCTCTCAAGACTTTAACACACACAGACATATTATTTTCTAAGATGTTTTATGTGTTCCTCAAGCACAGCAGTTCTCAACCTTCCTAATGCCGTGACCCTTTAATACAGTTCCTCATGTTGTGGTGACCCCCAACCATAAAATTATTTTTGTTGCTACTTCATAACTGTGATTTTGCTTAAGAACATGTTACTAATTTAATATCTCTCTCCCTCTTTCTTTCTCTCTCTCTCCCTCTCTCTTTCTCTCTCTCCATTTCTATTTCTCTCTCCCTCTCCCTCTCTCTCCTTCTTTTTCTCTCTCCCTCCCTCTCTTTCTCTCCCTCTCTCTTTCTCCCTTTCTTTCTCCCTCTTTCTTTCCCTCTTTCTTTCTCTCTCCCTCTCTCTTTCTCTCTCTCCCTTTCTCTCTCTCCCTCTCTCTCTCTATTTCTCTCTCTTTCTCTCTCCCTCCCTTTCTTTCTCTCCCTCTCTCTCCCTTCCTCTTCCTCTTTCTCCCTCCCTCTGACCTGTAACAACACAATGAGGGAGCCAACCAATCGCGGGACGTAGATTCTGACGGGCAGCCGGCCAGAGCCAAGAAGCCAGCGATCGCCTCAAGCTGCCGCCACGGCCTGATGAGACCGCGCTGTGCCCGACAGGCAGCGCGTAATGGCCAATGAGTGCTGGGCGGGGGTTGGTGCTTGAGAGGTGGCTACTGAGTGTGCGGCACCATTGTGGCTGTCAAGCCCCGTGGGCTTGACATTCCTATGAAGGAAGGGGCCCACGCAGCCGGCCGCTGAAGCATGCAGCCGGCCACCAGAATTGCCACGCAGGAAGAACAGCTAACGGCAGCCTACCAGGCGGGACTCCGGTGCACCCTAGGACAGCCCGCCAGCGCCTGGTTAGAGCAGCTGGCTGGCACTCCATTGTGGCTGGCTCCGGCGGGGTGGGAATTCCCTGGAATCACGGAATGCGGTGTGGCAATGTCACCAATGAGCGGGGCATCCCAAGGAGGCCGCCAGCACCTGGTTGAAGCAGCTGGCTAGCACTCCATTGTAGCCGGCTCTGCCGCCGGTGGCAGGGATCGCCCACAGTTTGCGGCTTCTGCTGCGGTGCCCGGATCGGTTTCCCAGCGTGTGGGTGTTGGAATGTTCGATCGGTATCCCAGTTGAAAAGCCCTGGGATACAGAAGTAGTGTTTCGGTTCCTAAGACCATCGGAAATATGTGTTTTCCGATGGTCTTGGGCAACCCCTGTGAAAGGGTCGTTCAACCCCCAAAGGGGTTGCGACCCACAGGTTGAGAATCGCTGCTCTAGCAGTTTGTGCATTGTGAGAAAGAATAGTCACTTTCTAAGAGGTCAAACATAATGCTTCTAATCTATAATATTTAGGATATTGTCCAAATAAATACATCACAATCAAGTCATAAATTGGCTTGTTCCTTGGCCTATAGCTTGATCCGTTAAAGTTTGAGATTCAATTTGTGGTTCTGAAATTTCATCTTTAATTTTTGTCCAAGATTTCATGTACTCTATCTATCTATCTATCTATCTATCTATCTATCTATCTATCTATCTATCTATCTATCTACCTACCTACCTACCTACCTACCTACCTATCTATACACACACACATTTCCAGTCATTCAGTGCTACCATAGTTACCTAAAAGCTACATTAGGATATGATGGGGGGGGGAACTGCTGTAGTTCTTGCAATTTTATGTGAAAACAAATTAGTAAGTCTTATAAAGGGTCATTTATCTCTTGGTTTTATCTGCAAAATGTATTTTCCTTCCTGCATTGTCTTTTCTTAATTGCTTCTTTGGCTCAGTCTGCCCTGATCTGAATTCCTCCTAATTTTTTTCATTAAGACAGAATGTTTCCCCCCCCTGAAAACATAAGCATGTGGGATGAGTAAATCTAACAGTAACTTTTTTCAAAGGGTTACTTATTCCCATTAGTCAAATTTAAGAAGTATAAAGATTCCCAACATGGAGCCAACTCCATAATCTACCTGATTCCCATATATCAAGGGTCTTCAAACTTGGCCTTTTTATGATTTGTGGACTTCAACTCCCAGAATTCCTCAACCAGGCACGCTGGCTGAGGAATTCTAGGAGTTGAAGTCCACAAGTCATAAAAGGGCCAAATTTGAAGAAAAATAATTCAGCATCAGCATCCCATTTTACAAAGCCATTTGACTAGAGTGGCCAAAGAGGCCAACTAAGGACTTAACTAACTAAATGAACCAGTTTAGTTTCTTTTGTGTGATGACATCTGCAAGCTTTTTCTTCTTTTGTCAAGATTTACCCTTTTATGTGAGTGCTATTGTGACACCCTTAGCAAAAGATGTGGCTTCCACTGAGATATTGCAACACTTCTTTTGTCACTCTGATCTTCACTTGCATGGACTGTCCATGGACACCACTGACAACCAATTCATTTTTTTTTTTCATTCTGTTAGGAACAAATTCATGAATACTTTGGGGGAAAAAAATCTAACCAAATAGAATTCACAACTCCAAATGAGCACACGGCTCAAAATTCTTGTTAAAGTGGTCTTGCCTATTTTATCTTTTTCCCCCTTTTTAAAAAAATCTTTGTGTGAGTGTGTATCAATTATATAGTGGAGACTTCAACGTTAAGTAACTAGCTCAAGATCAAAACTTTCATTGTACAACAAATATTTGAATGAAACTGCAGCACTTTCTTTTTTCTTGTATTATGCACTATTTTATATGGTATTAAATAATTTTATGCTTGTAATATCAATATCTTAAATTGTAATTAATACCGATATTTATTTCTATTTTATTTCTAATACTATTAGTTAACTGAACAATATAATGTCAATAATTTTAACTAATACTGTGCAAGTATCATTATATCAAAACAATATAATATACTGAGATTTGCACCATAATTTAAAAAATATTTCTGCATTTTTCCATTTATGCATGTAGGTGATTTTTCATACTAGTAATCAGATGATTACTGCAATACTTTATGAACATTTACATGCATATCATTCAACAGTGCAAATACAAAACAACAACATCCTGAAGGAACTATATATGTAATTACATTAAAACTGCTTTTTTTCAATGCTTTATCCGCGTAAATCTTGTAATATCCATGTAAATATTTATGTAGGAGAAGAAAAGAATCGGGCATTTAAAACACAAAATGAAATGAAATCATGATTAAACCCCTGCAGAAAATAAATTGATCATTTATTTTGATTATTTAGTGTTGTTTAGTTCAATTTCTGTCATGGTTTTTTTTGAAACTGAACCATAATGTAAGTAAAATTTAAATAATGTTAATACAAATCCCCTTGATTCCAGAGTTCAGCCAAAAGAACTGTCAACTGCTTTAACAATAACAAAGGGTTTAATTCCTAAGATATTAATTTTTGAATTCAGTCTTTAAACTGCTTCATTACAATGCAAAAGCAATTATATTTTCTTCTTTTTAATATTTACAATAGTGCAATAATTTACTTTACCGTAATCACTAGCTAATAATTCTCTTGTATTTTTAATTCTGCTTTCCTCTTGTTTCTGACAAAATGTCATTCTTCATTCATGGTGTTCAGTTAGGTTATAGAAAGAATATTTTGTTTTTGTTGTTGCTGAAAATAGTATATCTCAAGTAATACCATGGATTTTCATCAAAAATGGGGATTTCGATAAAACTATTTGCCCCCAGCATTTTATAACACAGAACAAAACGTCTATCCTTCTTTAGAGACAAATTTATCTCTCTAATAATGATGGTTTTGAAATGAATTTCATGGCCACACTGAAGCACAGTAAATGTATTAAGTATCTACCTCATGATAAGCATTGCATCTGTGAACAAAAGCTAGAAAAAGGGGCATACCTGTGCTACTGTCAGAGTAATTTGAGCAGATGCTTTGCTTCTCACAGCATATAAACATATAAATATGTTCTTCACGTCTTGCCAAACATATTTGCAGGTTTTTAAAAACGTAAAATACTGATTATCAGAAGAGAGAACACCCTATGAAGAATATATAACCTATGGTAACAATTGTTCTTTCAAACGACTCCCAATGTTTTGAAAAAAAAAATGTATTGATCCTCTCTAATTGACACGTGAATTTCTTTGCAGTTCATTCTGACTTACTTTGTCAGGGAAGTCTGATTTCAGTTCTGTAATACTCCTGCACCAATAGGCTGCAGTTTTCTCGCTTATGAGCTCAATATTCAAGAAGGAACCTTGACCTGGACCATACACGGGACCTGTGGTAGTTCCACGAATTATCCTTGGAGAAACATTTGTTACAGTGTCCTGTGAAAACAATAAAATAAAAAAATAAAAATTAGCAATTCAAATTGAACAAAGAAAAAAAAAATTTCTACTTCTTATTTCTGAAACTTTGCCCTCTACATGTATGGATACAGTAGCCCTTGCATGACGATCATAAATTCAGCAACCAAAATTATGATGGCACTGAACAAATTATATTTATGCCTGGTCTCAAAGTTATGGTTGCTGCAGTGTCCTTGTGGCCACGTGATCAAAATTGGGCACTTGGCAGACCTCCCACATTTATGACCACAGGTGAGTTTCAACTCCCTCCCACTCACCTGTCTTCCCCCTATCAATGCCCTTTTGGCTGTCTTGCACACTACCTGCCTGTGACAGAATGTGCAGATGAAGATGGAGCAGAGGGAGAGAACGTTGGCAGTAGCACTGCGGCTTCCCAGAGAAGAGGCAGCTCATTCCAGAGAGGGCCCAAGACCACAGAGTGCATAGTCCTGTACTGGATGGTAGGGGGAGGAAACGTTTCAGGGTAGGCTGACCTTAGGATCTCCCAGGGTGTATCTATTAGGTTAGAAGGTTATAACTTTAGTGTTTCAAGATTAAACTGGAAGAGTCCATAAAGAAATGGACTTAATTGGATCTCACTGTGGCATCTTTGGGCTTAGGCCTGACATGCTCTGACCACTCCTGCTGCTCTCTCTCTCTTTCCCGCCACTCTTGCCATGCCAAGTTCCATTTTATCATCCACTCTACACTCTTCCTGCCCCTGCTGCTCTATGCTCCACCACCTAACAGCTGCATCGCTTAATGATGGAAACTCCAATCCCAATTAGGGCCATTAGGGCAAGACTTTCTGCATTTTATACTGGGTTCTTTTATTATTTTTATGAATGATAAACTAAAAGAACAACAACAACAACAATAATAAATTAATATGTTGATTACAAAAATCAACAAGCACATATTATCTATACCATCTGCTAGTAAAGATCAAGTTTTCAGGAAGGGGGAAATGGTTTATTTTCCATTCTTGGACAGGAAGCCCACTACTATAAAAAGAGTTGCCAAGCTCTCATCGGCTACCGTTGTCATAAGAAAGCTTAAGGTATCTTAAATTGTGATGATGACACGAAGAAGTCTTTTATTATATTATTTTAATTTCATTTCACAAATTTGGTTTTGCTTTGCTTTATTTCATTTGGGTGTTGGTTATTACTTTTAAAGCCCACCATGGCATGGGTCCAGGTTATCTGAGGAGCTGACTCCCCCTGATGTGACAAGCCTGCCCCACTCATGCCTGCAGAAGAGGCCTGCTACGGGTTCTGTCTGTTAAAAAAATGAAACAGGCGGGGTCAAGGAGATGAGTTTCTTCTGCTATGGCCCCATTCCTGTGGAACATTCTACCACTGGAGGTGAGAACTTTCTCCTCCCTTTTGGCCTTCCGGAAGAATATCAAAACCTGGCTTTGCCAGCTGGTCTGAGCTCCTGAGAGGAGCGCTCAACTCTGGAGATAGGATAACAGGACCTCATCCCATCCTGCTCCCTTAGAGCTAGAATAGAATAGTTCTTAATAATATTTTAATTCTGTGTTATTTTAATATTTCAACTATCTTTAACTAGTTTTATAATCAATAAGTTGTCCAGAGTCACCTTGTAGGGGAGATGACTGGCTAAATGAATGAATGAATGAATGAATAAAAAAACTTTTTTGTTTTAATTTTAATTGCAGTGTCTATATGGTGTTTTTAATGCTCTCACTATATTTGAATCTGATTTTATATGTTATTTTAGTTTCATTCATTAACAATGAATGAATAAATAAATACATTCAGGCAGAATTCCCTCAGTAGATAAACTTAAATGTTCAACTGCAAACATTCGGTTTGCTGGCAGACAACTATTCTTATACCATTCACTAAATATAGTCTATTTTAGAACTGAGAAATAGGATTTGTAGGCATTCCCTTTAGGCCATTTTCATTCCTTATGTTTCTTTAAAAACTGTATATTATGTTTAAATAGAAAATATAAGCATTCTGATTATTTTATTCATGTTACTTATTGAATAAAAATGATCTATGATCGTTTCATTTCATAGGAAAGGTTCAAAGAATATTTCAGATTTAACTTTGTAAATAATCATTAACATTATTGTGTTGTTTGGAAACATCACCTACACTGAAAATCATTTACAGAAGCATATAAATTTGCAGATTTAAAATAAAAACAATTTTAGGTAAAGGCCGTTTAGTTAAGCATTTCATAGAGTTATTGGGTTAAGTATCCCTACTCACAATCTTGTCACTTCTGGAGCGATAACATGAACCCCCATTAGTATATGGCAATTAAGATCAATTTACATATTTTAATTAAGATCCATCCCACATAAAACAATTAGGGTAATAGGCATACTAACTGATTTCATAACATTTGGACGTTTTTCCAACTAGATAGACAGGAAACGTTAATTAGCATTAATTAGTGCTGATCTGCATATGTTTGATAAGGCATACCCTCACTACAAATGATTATTTATTCCTGAATCTGCCAAGTGCTACCATAGCAGAAAATAAAGGAACTTCCCTCATATTGTATGTAAATGTCTAGTAATTTTTACTTGTTTTTCTATTTGGACTATTTATTAAAAATAAATGAATAGAAATGAATATACAAATATATACATTCATATATAGAGAAAACATACTAATTAATGTGCAGCAGTTAATAGGCACTGATGACATTTCCATAATAACTGTGAAAATGATGGTGTTTAGAACCTTTTCTATTAAATTTTGTCTTTATATCCTGATACTACAAATCAGTATAATTTTCAGATAATTTTTGGCAATCTTTAAAGAGGAGGATACTGTAATACATTTAGAAAAAAAATACAGCATTTGTCAGTATCTCCTTTCACTGAAATAATCACACTATCACTACCACCAGCAGCAACAACAGTAATAATATCTGCAAGAAATTCTACAAGTAAGAACTGGTGGGATTACAGACAAATAGAATAGAATATTCTAGAAAAAGAATACATAATATAATAGAAAAAGAAGAAGCAAAATAGTTCTGGGACAAGCACCTGCCAGATAACACCCCAGATTTAACAATTACCAATAGGAAAGACAACAAAGTCTAGTGCAGGCGTAGGCAACCTTGGCTCTTTTAGGACTCGTGGACTTCAACTCCCAGAATTCCTGAGCCTAGCTGGCTCAGGAATTATGGGAGTTGAAGTCCACGAGTCCTAAAAGACCCAAGGTTGCCTACCCCTGGTCTAGTGGACATGGCAGTATCTGGAGAAAGAATTGCAAAAGATAAGAATATACAAAGACCTGTAAATAGAAGTAAAATGACTAGGGCAAAAAAGCAAAGGTAATAGATGCTTGGGGTGCAATCCCAAAATAACTGGAGCATCACTTGAATACCACCACCAGCATTGATAAAATCACCATCAGCCAACTCGCAAAAGGTAGACTTACTACAAACAGTTTACATCTTGCAACGATACCTTTAACATCATGAAACAATAGGTTTGGATACTTACATAACATTAGATTTCAAATGCTATCTATCTATCTATCTATCTATCTATCTATCTATCTATCTATCTATCTATCTATCTACCTACCTACCTACCTACCTACCTACCTACCTACCTACCTACCTACCTACCTATTTCTTTTTAATCCTGATACTGTGCTAAGAGAAGGACTGCCTTCTTCAGCTTTACAGAACATACAGTACCTCTCTATATCCAAGTGAGTATTGTATTGCCACAGATCCTCTGCTTAGTGGAGACACTCAAATCAAAGCATCAAGGCAGCTATCTCACTTCTTGAACACTTAAATGAAGGGAAGCCATCCAATTGGGTGATTTGTTCTGCTATCCCAAGGCTCTTTCAGTTAGGATTTTTTTATTTTTAACATTCAATAGGAATCAGTCTTCTTGTGGTTTAACTCTGATATTTTGTGCCTTGCACTCAAGAAAAAGAGGCCCAGATTCTAATATTTTTCTATATGACATTCTTTCAGGTATTTGAAGAGTGCTATGGTATCCCCCTTACCTGTCTATTGCCAAAGCTAAACATACCAAGCTACTTTTAATCCCTCTTCATACACCTTAATTTTCTAAAGCCCTGGATATTTATTGCTTTTCTATGAATCCTTGTATCCAAATCTAGTTTTAATATTCAACGTTTAATCTAATGAAAAAGTATGATATAATTTTTTTTGAATATTTAGAAGTTATACTGCTATTGATGCAGCTTAAAATTGCCTTCCCATCGCATTTTTAGTTCAAATTCAGTTTGTATTTGACTACTACTACAAGATTCCTTTTGCACGTACTATTACCAGGCTGGGTATCCCTTATCCTATACCTGTGCATTTGATAACGAAAGAACTTTACATTTATCTCTGTTAATTTTAGTTCTTTTCTTTGCTGTTCATTTCTATAAAGTATCAGGATTGTTCTGAATTTTATTTCTGTCTTCTAGAAATAAACACAATTTTGCATCGTCTCTAAATCATTAATGAAAATAGTGCGCTAACCCTGGGAAGGGAACCTGATAGCTTGTCACTTGATATTCAGTATCAAATATAGAATTTAATGTAGACCCATTGACTATGATTGTTGAGCCAGCTATATATTATATCCTGTAATCCATTCACATCTAACGAGATGGTTAATGAGCATGACATGGCCCACATCACAATTTATGGAAAAAAAACACGTAACAATATAAACCACAGGCTCAAATTATTTAGAAAACATTTTATTGTACTATTGTCCTACCAAATGTGCTATAGCATTGCTTAATGCTATAGACAAATTGAATATATATACATATAAAATATAGACTTCCCCCCACAGTTTGTTATTTTAGATATGATAAAAGGCTTTAATGATCAGTTGACAAACACACCAAATCAATTCCTCTAAGAACATATGACTTTTGAAAATATTTCTGAGTTTCTAATCTGATTTTGTTGGTAAGATCAATTAAATCTGTTTCTGG